AGACCCCGAAAAATCGCAGGCGAATGACAGCGAGCTTGGACGAGAAGCCAGACTGACAGTAAACATTAGCAGACCGTTGTAGAGTCGCGTTTTGATACTACGTATGTCAAGAGTTGGTGCTTGAAATATTTCGAGACCTGTGGCATTTTGAAACGGCAAAACCTGCCACTTCTGGCGAGCCACCATCCATTCGCGGAAACGATGACTTGCGTCTCTTTATGACCTCATAATGGAAATGCTCGAGCTGTTTGGTTTGTGGTTGTCCATGTGTCTCGTGCTGCAACCAGCGATCGGTGCCAATCATCGCAGCCGATTGAGGCTTCTCTCTGGCGGTACCCGATCAGCGCAATAATATGTACGCTTTGGTGCTTTCTTGTTTCGGGCGATTCCGATGTCGGTCTCCGACAAATGAACATACGATGATCGGGGTGTTTCTCTGGTGCCTCTGCAATTCTGGAGTTTGCAGTGTGGCAGGTAGGGCCGACTTGAGTTGTGCCTCCTCGGCAGCTCGCCAATGGATTTGTGTCTCTCGCTTTTACGCGTTGGCGTTTACCACAATTCCAAGAATCTCATTATGAATATTTTGTCCGAGCACTGTTGACCAATCTTTTTGGTTTCAGCGAGAGAAAACCTGCCACCTGTTGATATCGAAAAAGCAAACATCTGTCGGTACCAATTCGAAGAGTGAGTTGCATTCAGTCACGAGGAGGTCGGGTTGTTTCGCAGAGTTCTGGCAGGGTCGGCAGTGCTCCGATGGAAGCTGTGTGTGACAGTCACGTAGCGCGACGTGAAGGTCTTTTTCATATGACCAGTACGATAACCAGGAGGATGATAAGAACCACGATGAGAACACCGATACAGCAGCTTGACATCGTTTCTGTAATATGATCAGCAGACTGAGAGCCAGGTCCTGCGAACGGGTGTGCTGACCTTCGTTCTTCTTGATGACCCATCCAATTTTCTTCATGCCGACTTGCAGCTTCCCACCAACCCTGTCCGTGATGGTCTCAACATCTTCGAGCATGGCGTGCTGTTCTTCGAGCTCTTGGCCCATAGCGTCGGCTTGTTGTCGCAAGGAACCCACAGTCTGGAATACGCCGTCCAAGGCTTCGTCCTGCTCATTCATCATTTCCATCTGTCGTTCCTGTTCGAAGGCGGCATAATCGTCGGCCTCGGCAAATGAGTCTGGATCTGGCAGCATGGCGTCGCTGTTCAGTATGCCTTTGCCGTTGTTGTCGTGGATTTTCTTGTTGAGCTCTTCCCTCATGTCCTCGAGTTCTCCACCCACTTCTTCAACCAGCTTTCTCCTACGCTCCACTTCGTCAAGCTCAACGCCATATCGATACGGATCCTGCTCAACAACACGTACGCTTTGGACGAGGTCGGCCAAATCTTCGGCAAGGTCGGTGAGAGTGCTCTCGAGGTCAGTCCGGGCTTCAATTAGCTCTGGAGAGGTGGCAGAAGATGCAGAGGAACGGATTCGGAGGTATGAAGAGAAGAGGGGACGCGTCTGATTGAGGAGAGAAACGACGTCGCTATTAGAATTAGCTGAGAAGGTTCTGGAGCCATGTGAAGGATGCATACGCTTGGACTTGAAGAAACGGATCCTCGTCGTTCGTAGAGGACATCATATTGCGTGTAGTCCTGTTAAGTGTGCAATGCTAAGCTTCGCTGGATGCCGCTCGATGCCAGATGGACTGATGTGTCCCATGGCAATGGCAATTGATGGGGTGCCCGAGCCACAGTGGGTATCCAGCTAAAATTAGCGGGTGGCGCCTGGAGAAGTGCGGCAGGGTCTCCATGTCTAGGCCAAGAGCGCTGGAAAGATGACGCAGGGCAGCTCATACAGTTACTCAAGACCATCCCATTCTGCCATGTACTTAGGTAGGACAAACAACACACCTGCAGGACTGGTTCTGTCCACCTACAAGCTTCTCACCATCTCTATGTTGTGAAGATTTCACGCTCCACAATGCCGTTCATATCGAACCTCATTGCTGGCTCTAGCTCGACTGTGCTTCGCGTCTTCACCTACATTTTCCTGCGCTGGGTAAGAACCAGAGTACTTCAGCCTCTAGGCAGTAACAAGTACTAACCATCAGTCCTTGTAGATTCCCGGCCATGTATATAATCCATCCTCCAATCAAAACGCGTGCATATCTAACAAATCGACAGCATGCCCCGCCGATAATATATACCGCGTTCGCCGTCTACCTGACCTCGTTCATTCAAAGCTTTCAAACCACCTCACCATTTGAAGTAATATCCGACGAGATAGATATCATAACACGCGAAACAGTCGCTCAGGGTGACGATAGTGAGGCCGAAGATGAGGCAGAGGAAAGCAGCAACGCTGCGTCTGAGGAAATCGACGTGTCGGAACGTGTAGTCCTAGAAGAAAGAGGGCCGCAGATTCTGAGAACGCTTCTACTTGGTCTTCCGAGTCCCACGTCGCTTTTCCTAAGTACTGTAACAGTCCTGCTGAACTTTGCCTTGGTTGCAATGACACTGGACATGGTTTATCGAGCGCCCCTCCTGTATCAAGCCCATGACCTCTCCTTCACGCGCGTTGGATATGTCTCGTCCGACAGCGCGAAGCTGTTGATCAGAGAGCCGGATTCGAAAGAGTTGCCAATCTATGTTCGGTATCGTTATGCCGATTCTCCGTTGAAAATGCCTTCGGGTTCTGGCATCCCCGACACGACTTGGAAGTATGCAGGCTCCATCACGGAGTCTGAATTGAGCGAGGAAACCGACTATACTTCCAGCGCATTTTTGCGTGACTTGCATCCAGACACTCGTTATCAGTATGCGCTATCGAACAATCACTCCGGCCACTTCTACACAGCTCCCGCGATCGGGCAAGTATCGAGGCGCAATGGTGGGAAGTTCACCTTCCTACACTCAAGCTGCATCAAACCACGCGTTCCTTACAATCCGTTGGACCATGCTTTGCATTTCCCGGGCTTCAAACATCTCGCAGACTGGATACCTAAGCTTAAAGCCCACTTTATGATTTTCCTCGGCGACTTTATCTATGCCGACGTTCCTCAACGATTCGGTGTGGATGTAGAGGCCTTTAGAGGCGAGTACAGAAGAGTATATGCTTCCCCAGACTGGCCCTCCGTATCCGACGAGCTACCGTGGATTCATGTCCTAGACGACCACGAAATAGCAAATGACTGGGACCAAAACACAACAGGCATCTACTTGGATGCCGTTGATCCTTGGCAGAATTATCAGGTCGCGGTAAACCCTCCACCTGGAAAAATAGGACATACGTGGTTTGTCTTTACGCAGGGTCCCGCCTCCTTCTTCATGATGGATACAAGAAGGTACCGGACTTCAGAAAAGGACGATCCCAACGATGCGAATTCATCGATGCTCGGCAAGGAACAACTAACAGATCTCATTAAATTCCTCCACGCGCCAAACCAACAAGGTGTCAAATGGAAGATCGTGATCTCTTCGGTCCCTTTCACCAAAAATTGGCGTTTCGGGGGCAAGGATACATGGGGCGGGTATCTCGTCGAGCGTCAGGTCATTCTCGAGGCCATGTGGGAGGTCGGCTCTAGAGGGACAGGTGTTGTGGTCCTGTCCGGCGATCGGCACGAATTTGCTGCGACGTCTTTTCCACCACCAGAGGGTGGAGAGTGGCCTCAAAGTGCAACGGTCTACGAGTTTTCTACCAGTCCTCTGAGCATGTTCTATCTGCCAATTCGAACGTACAAGCAGAGCGACCAGGAAGACGTGGCAATAAAGTGAGTCCGACACATAACATGGTCGTTTGCACGGGCTTGGAACTAATTCTAGATAGATATCTTCCAGACGGCAGCTTCAAGTTTGGCGCGGTGGAGATCTATACGCCAGAACTTAGTGAGCAAAGTATGCTTCATTATCGACTGTTCGTCGATGGCGAGGAGGTGTGGACACACACCGTTCCTGCGCCTCCCGCTGCCGGGCATAGCCTATTTGGAACTGGGCGATGATTGAATACGATATGATCTGTCTCTCCATCATCTGAGCCATTGAACTCGTGCAAGCCCTTCAAGCTCAGAGAGTATAAGTGAGCATCCTCGCAGTCGCTAGCTATGTACACGCACATCTCCCAGTATCTTTTCTCTGATATTGAGTTATTCGTAGGATCGACGAGTGTTTGTGCGTGCACGTTGCTAGAATGATGGGTGCAGAGGTTAAAGGTAGTAAAGAGAATAGTAGAACTGTAACTTTTAATGTCGCATCGATGTCAGTGTTGCCATGGTCAAAGGGAAATTGTGTAAACGTCGTGGGTATTGATAGAACGACTGGACGTGACTTGAGGTGGCACGGGTGGCTACCTACTGCCATACGAGGTGAACACCCGCCAAGGCTACTGATTTTCAGCCTGAGGCACAGGGAGTAGATCATTAACACTACCTCCGCGGCTTCGATATTATGTCACGTCTAAGCACAGATCCTCACCAAAAAACGTAATTTTTCAACTTCGACCCCAAATACCAGGCGCCACGAAGGGATTTAGATAAATTCTAAGAGATAGAAAGATCCGAAACCGTTATAAGATTCTAAATATTAAGTCTTTTAAAAATGCGACTAGTAGGAATATTAATATCTTAAATCTAAGATTATACTTAGTTCTACTTAAGTAGTTATTTAGACGTAGGTAAGTAGAATCTAGAAAATCTCTTTTCTCGGATAATAAATTTTTACGTAGATAAATTTTAAAACTTAAAGTCTCTCTAGCTAGAGGAAGATATAAGCTATCCTATCGGCTATATCTTATTCTCTTATTCGAAGTCGTGGTTGAGGGATTCAAGCCGAGAGGCGCAAATCTATGGTTTCTACGTACAGACCGTGACATGTTAGCGAAGCCGCGGAGGTAGCACCAAACACCAATTTGAACTTCGATTCCTTGACCTCCGTACAAGCGACAACCAGATCTACACGTGTTTACACCCAAAAACGAATCTTCAGGTGACAAAAACATACCACGCTATCCATACCGACCCTCATGCGACTCGAACGCACAGCCTTCTCCTTAGGAGGGAGACGCGCTACCATTGCGCCAAAGGGCCTACCATGGTCAGCCACTTCACATTTTTTTGAATATGTCCGCTCGTTGTTGATCAGCGAGTCATCTCACAGCTCATGATAACTGACATTCGTATGGTCGCGCGCGACCACATGCAGCTCGGAATTGAGGTGTCTACGCCTTGCCAAATCCGTGCTTATATCTACCTAAGACGTTTAGTGTGAGAAATTTCAACGAGTTCTATAGGTAGAGAATGATAAATCTTATTTTATCTTTGCCGAGTTCCATGGCTTCTACAGGTTTTAGGAATTCGTAATGTACGGACTGTTACTGGTCCGGGTAGCCCCTTCCTTTTCAGAGTGCTCTAAGCATGGGGTAGTTGCTACCCTGCCAAACGTCACTGCAGGTACCTTGATAGCACCTACCACGAGCACACGACGCGACAACCATAAATCTCAACAAGCCAAATTTTTCAACCACTCTTCAACAACAACAACATCATCATCCAGAGACTCGTGCACGACACAAATCCAATACCCTCTGTCCTGCTTTTCGTTCTGGCTATCATCAAATGTCCAACCTCACCGCGCTTCCTCCGGAGATATCTCTCGTCATCCTCGAGTACGTACTTTGCTGCCCTCAGTTGTACGAAAAAGACCTCCTCCACAACAAACGCTACGCATGCCATCAACACTGCCTCTCCCACATATTCAAAACGCCAGCAATCGATGCCGCAACCTGCAAGATCAGCATGACAAGCAAGCGGATGAGAGACGAGTCCAAGGGCATGGTTGATGGATTCAAGGAATGCTTGAGGGAGGAATTCGAGGAGTGGAGGCACGGATGGATTACTGGTGACAGGGGTTGCGAGTGTTTGTGTCGAGCAGGGTGTATCCGTTGCAAAGTGCCTGGAGTGTTGGATATGGATCATCTTGAGGAAGTGGCAAGGTTGAGGGGTGAGGTTGGGAGGTGGAAGAGTTCGAAGCCGGTGGATTTTGCTGGGCAGGCGAGGGTCATTAGAGCTTTTGCTGACTTATGGGAAGAGGATGACCAGTGAAATAAGTCCTGGGAGGGTATGACGATTGCATCACAGAACTAGTCAGATTCCTACATGTTGAGTTCTCGATCATATGTAATCAAGTTGAAAAGTACTGTTGAATGGCTGCATCGATCGGGCATGTCAAGCCACGTATTCCACTCAATAAATCTAGAGGAGATTGACAAGCAAAGCCCTTCCATCCAGATAGTATGAAATTTTGCATCGATCTCATCCACGACTATGTAGCAACCTCTCGCCAATCTCTAAAACGAGCCACTGCTTTCACGAGGGGTATGGTTGCATAGTAGTCCTCGGTGGACAAGTCTAGTCTTGCTGAGATAACTTCCTCGGATAAGTAGGTTCAGGACCTACAGCGGCAAGTTCGTGGCTAATCCACCTCAAAGATATCTTTACCCTGAAAGAGAATGGAGCTAGTGGCAAAATTGTCGCGCTGAAATGATACCAGACGACCAGGTCGACCATGGTAACTTCAAACGAGAAGGCCTTCAAGGTCTCCAAAAGTCCGAGAATGATCCTGGGAATGTCTAACCATTCATGCCGGGGAACTGCTCGCGATGGAGATATCCTGAAAGGCTCTAGGAAATCAAGCTCCGCTCCCTGCTCAGTAGGCTCTAATAGGTCCGTATACTTTTTCTGCCAGTGCTCTGAGCTCCATAGCGATGAACGGATTGTCCGGGTATTTGCCTCTCAGGTCCGACTTTTCAATCGCGCACATGACTAATGGCCTCGAAACCTTTTCACATTCCTTTCTCTTTGCTGAGCTCCACCATGCTGGAAGTAGGTCTTTCTTTTCTGCCTTGTTTAGGAATCTCTTAAAATCTGCATGGGGATTGCCACCACCATACAAGGAGTCATTTGAAACCTCGCCGGTGTAGACATACTCATCTTCCATGCGGAATCAATAGGCGTCAACAATGAATTTGTATGCTTTTTTGTGTGGCATGGAAGTCAGCGTGGAGGCTGAACTGGGTTCGTCGGAAGCGAACGCGTCAGTGCCCATAGCAAGTTGTTTCTTGAATTTGCTAAGGAAATCGTCGTCAAGATTATCATCGTCGTCCTCATCTTCCCATGCATCCTCATCTTCGCCAGTGTCTATTCCGGCTGCTCGGGCTGCTTCCAAAGAGCGAGCAATGACGTCCTGGAAATTGGATCCTGAAGCAGAGACCGCTGTCCCTCCCATGAAGTCATGAACTGATGATCCCATTTCGTTCTCGAATCTTTCCTTCGAGGCCTGAGCTGCTTGCTTTGTACAGATTTTCTTATGGACTTTCCAATCTTGTTGTTGACATCCTCGTGAGCAATAAAAGGAACTTTTGCATTTGGCGCACCATTTGAGAGGTATGGCCAAAGATGTCTCGGGTTTCGCGCATTTGGTGCATTGGCGCGGGCTTGCAGGCTCTTCGCCTACGCATCGATTAACGAAAGTTCAATGTAGGCCAAGTTCAAGAACTACCTTTTGCCAAAAAAGACATTGCTATTGTTGGTGAAGGGTGTTAGTGTTCAAAATCTCTATGCGCCGATTAAATACCCAAGTGAGTGGTTGATAGCACAAAACAGAGCTAGCCTCAATCCGGTTTGATTCGAGACACGAAGTCACGAGACCAACACGCCAACACCCTCGTCGCGCTTCCCCTCCACTTTCACCACCAGACTCCCTGCGTTCTGAACTCCTATCTTGTTTTCTTCATTTAGATCGCTCTTCTATTCTACTGTTATATCATGAGCTATACAGACATTCTTCGCACCCGTCCTCGAGCTCTCTTCGGCGCGTCATGCCTTTCCTGTTCAGCGAAATTTGTAAATTACTTTCCGACCTCGAGAAGCTGAAGAAGCGGCATCCTCCTTTGTTGCCGACAGCATTGAAAGCGGAAACTCGGTCCAAGATCGAATACTGGTTTAGATGCAATCGGAAGTCGATTCACGCTCCTGGAGTGGATAGTGTCGCTTTCCTTTCGACGCTTTTTCCTGAGAGACGATCAGACCGCGTCTATGGAATGAAAGAAGACCGTCTCGGCAAATTGATTGGAAGATGTCTGAACATGAACTCCGCGAACAGGAAGATTCTCGAAGATTGGAAGAACCCAGGCTGTGGGGACCTTGGAGATCGTGTCGAGACGGTACAAAAACCATACGATGAGCCACGCGCCCAGGAACATCTTGTCACAGTTGAGGAAATCGATAACGCTCTCAATGACCTGGCGTCTCGGGTTCGTTTCTCGGGGCCTGATATACGCTCGCTGAAGTCATCCTCTTCCTCGGATGACAGCCTGGGTGACATATTTCTTCGTCTGAAATCAACCGAGGCAAAATGGTTGACGCGGTTGATTTTGAAGGACTTCTCTCCTGTTGTCTTGGAAGAATATGTGGTGTTGAATGCATATCATTTCCTCCTTCCCAGTCTGCTCAAGTTCCAAGACAACTTCTCCACTGCTGTCGCCCTCCTCCGTGGCCCTTTTCACAATACACCGTCATTCACTTCGGACGCTAACGCTGCTTGGGCCCTCAAGTGTCAGGCAGCCGCATCATTGATGCCTCAAATAGGTGTTAAAATAGGACGGCCGCAGTTCCTCAAAGCAAGGTCAATGGAGAACTGCGTGAACCTGGCTAATGGACAAATATGGAGCGTCGAAAGAAAGTATGATGGTAAGTAGATTCCTGAACACGGCTTCGGTCTTGAATGCTGAGGGAGAACCAGGTGAATTCTGCGAGATACACATTGATCTAGAGAAGGGTATTGGTTCAGAGATCAAGATACTTTCGAAAAGCTGTAAGGATTCTACACAAGATCGGAACAAGCTACACCACACTATCCGCACATGCCTTGCTATTGGTCAACCTCATTGTGCCTTCCAAAAAAGGTGCATCGTTATCGGAGAGATGGTCGTCTACTCCGATCGGGAGCAGCGTATTCTTGATTTTCACCACATCAGAAAACACGTCACGCGATCTGGCGTACCCATCGGCAATGAGGCTGATTCACAAGTCCGTCCAGGGGAGCATCTCATGATAGTCCTTTTTGATCTCCTACTAGTTGATGATGACCCTATCCTCAGACGGCCATATTCCGAACGACGAGCTCGGTTGACAAAGATCATGACCAAGCGCGTAGGCCATGCCATTACTGCAGAGCGGACCGAGCTTGGCTTTTCGCAGCCGGATGCTAGAGAGAGACTATGCAACCAATTTGCTGCCGCGTTATGCCTTCGAATGGAGGGACTTGTCCTGAAGCCGTTACAGACGCCATACTTCACGCTCGCGGGTGACAACAGCGGCAATCGAAAGAGCTATATAATTAAGCTCAAGAAAGATTATCTTCCAGAATTTCAAGGAGAGAGAGACGTTGGAGACTTCACAATCGTGGGGGCTTCTTATGATCCAAAGCTTGCCCACAAATCTAGTATAGGCCAACTTGAGTTTACGACTTTCCATCTTGGATGTCTCATCAACAAGGAAGATGCGGTACGCTTCGATCAACGGCCGGTTTACAAAGTGATTGATTCTATCGATCTCCATCAATGTATACCACCAACAGAATTGAGGACGTTGAACGACCACGTAAGATTTCAGTCAGTGCCGTTCAACCGAGAAGAAAATCGCTTGAGAGACGCCGAAGAAATAGGTTTCGACCTGGTGCTTGATCATACGCTAAGCTCGAAGATCAAAGTCGTTCTGATAGAGCCAATCGTAGTCGAGGTGCTCGGGAGCAGCTACGTCAAACCGTCAGGAAAATCATACTACACACTGCGTCACGCTCGCATACTCAAGGTCCACCTCGACCGTGACTGGAAAGAAACTGTTTCGTTTGATGAGTTGCAAGATTTGGCGGAGAATGCGTTGAACGCACCACCGGAAGAGACAGTAGATTCCAAGCAGATGTCACAAAATGTGATCGAGGTGTTGGGCAAATTTCATCGCAAATTCGAGCGAGATCGTCTTCGACGAACTACCCCGCGATCCAAGGCGACAACCAGTCCCGCGACCAC